ATTACCATGTTCTTATGTACAGTAGAATTGTAAATGGGCTGATTTATCAATGTCATACCGTGCCGGAACAACAATGGGGGAACTGCTGCTTTTTCTTTCTTTCCCTTTTGTTTCTGCCTGTCTTACTTCTTCCCTGACCATAATGACCAGAGCAGTGGTTTGCTCCGAGGAGTGGTCAGGCGTGTCTCAAACCAGCTCCTCATGGAGACAATTAGCAGGAAGACCCTGAGGTGGACGCTGGAAAGGAGAGATGAGCAGCTATGGACATGACTGTGCCGCCTGCTATGATTCTAGCTCTGGATCCAAGTAAATCCAAGTAAATCAAAAAATGACCATTGCTGTGCCGATGTGCTTCTTTTGGCTCAAATTTAGAAGCAAATGTAGATGTAGATAGCTAAACGCCAAGCATGGAAACCACATGGAGGACCTGCGTTGAACAAAACCCTTCTCTTTTGTAAGAGTTTCACGGCATAATATAATATTAATATATATTAGATCATAATATAAGTGCCGAAGAGTAAAGCAAAGTTGTTCCCGCGTCAGATCCGGACATTGGGGATTTCCTTGTTAGTGAGACAACTTCCTGGGTCTTCGGCCTATTGTGGTAGGGTGGCCAGTTCCTTTCCACGCCGCCTTTACTTCCACAACTCGAAGTCAGGTACCCATTACTGCTGGGTGGGCAGGAGGGGGCGAAAAAAAATCCGTGTCCGAACCGAGGCTCGAACCCGTACTTTCCGCTTCGGAGACGAGCGCACTAACCGAAGAGTAACAAACACACAAAAATAAGGAGGAAAGGAGATATAATAATGAAGATCAATGTTTGAAAAAGAAAGAAGGAGCTGACCACACCCAAGCACCTGCCAACCTCTCAAGTCCGGGGTTATCACTCTCATGGAGACAAAGTGGTGGGCAAAGTCCGGATAACCGGATAATTCTCAAGAAACATTATCCGAATGCAGACTCTTTAACTCTCTTTCCTAACCCGTTTGCTGAAGAGGGTGCACCCATTTGTTGAATTGGTTCTAACCGGTTTGCTGAATAGGGTGCACCCATTTGTTGAATTGGTTCTAACCTGTTTGCCGAAGCGGTCCATAACACATTAATTTAATAATTACCAAAGAGATGCACTAACATATTATCCGGATTTTACTTTTTTTTTTTAAACAACTCATTGCCCAGCCCTATGGAGACAACACGAGGGTAAAAAAAAATATGTTTTTAGAAATATTTTTATTCAGATGTAGACGTAGATGTCTTTTTAATGACTCATAAACACAATTTGTATGATATAGGAGGCGAGCCAACCTGGATGAGAACGATACAACATCCCAGCAGAAAGACGAAGATACTCGATAGAAATTCTCTCTCTCTCTCTGCTTTGGAGGAATGGAACTCAGGTCTCTTGCGTGTGGCGAGGAAGTGCCTAAGCGCTACACCATAGACTTAGAAGTCGATTCTAAATGATAAATTGTCATTGTAGAATTGGATAGATAGATCGGTAGATCCAAACACCACCAACAGCTACAACAACAACAACTACAACAACAACAACACCATCAACAGAACAACAACACCATCAACAGCAACAGCTCCCTCACCAACAACACCACCAACATCAACGTCAACACAAAAAAGCATTAATATAATCGTTAAACGTTTGAGAAAGTGTTGATTGGTCCAGGTTCATCTTTCAACGAGGGCCTGCTTTCACCACGAACCC